GATTGAATGTACGCCACTGCGTACAATTTTACTATGCCCACCGATGTCGTATTGTTGATGAGTCGTTAATTAAAACAACAAATGTCTCCTGGTGGTCACTGGCGAGTGGACATGATGAATAATTTTTAAAAATGCGAAAAGCAAAATAATTTATTTGTAGATTCTCGTATCACTTTTTTTTTTTCGGGTAGGTTTATACCCAAAAACAGCGTTTCCCAAAGTGTGTTCCAATGTTAAGGGTTCCGCCAGATGTATGTGATTGTTGAAAAACTTATTTTATATTATATTTGGAAAAAATATTATTTTATATTATTTAAAAAAAATTGTGTTTTAAACTAATTTTAATAAAGAGTAATCATTAACAATATTAATAGTATCATTAAAAACATTTTTTAGAACTCCTTTTTTTTTTTAGAAAAATTAGAGTTAAATTGGAATTAAAAACATTAGGGTCCGTGATTGTAAAAGTTTGGGAACCGCTGCCCTAGAATACGGTCTTCCGCAGCGGCGCAATTGAATTGGGTCCCATACCTACAAATTATTTTGTTTGCTCGTTGGTTACCAAAATATTGGAACATTGTTTGGGGGTGCTAAGTAACACATATGTCATACATACATTTTACACAGTTATATTACTGAATGATAAAAATTAAAATATTATTAAAATTAACTTACACTCGCCGCCCGCCTGTACACTGACAATAGAATTAAAAAATCATTGTGATATAATACAAAAACCGACGTAACAGCATTTGTATATCATGTAATAGTTCATAGAATCGGGTGTGATTGACATTAAGAATTACGTATCGTATATTTGTAATTCGTATCGTGGAACATGTTAGATGTAATAACTGAATTAGGATAATATCAAAATGTGACATACATTTTCACTAGTCACAAAATGTTAAACTTAAAAATTAAACTTTAATGCTCATCATAATTTTTAAATACTAGTAATAATGTTTACACAACATTTTTCGGAGCTTACTCAGCGGTTATATTTTATTTTTACTGATTTTGGGTGCTAATTCATATGCACCTATTCGTGGTCGCAGTCACTCAATTACCCTATATTTTATTTTACCTCTTAAATAATAATAATAATTATTATTCAATTTTCGTAACATTTTATAAAAATAAAATATTTTTTGTAGTTTAATGCCAACTCAAGGCATTTTACACCTCGATGTTGTAGAAGAATGAAATCATTTTTCCTCCACGCGGACTTTTAAGGGTTAGGTTATCGATATTACAAGTCGATTTAACATATTTGCTATTATGGTTCAAAATTTAAGACAGTTATTTTTATTTGTTAAGCATCATAAAAATGCGAGTGTCGGATGCTTATACGTATGCCTATTAGATTTGAAACGAATTTCGATTCTGAGAGAAGCAAGAAATGTATTTTCTAGATGGCTGTTTTTAAATGATAATGTGACATTAATTCAGAACCTAATTTCATCACACATGATTTTCCTGTTTATCATAAGTATAGCATTCGTAATTGTATAATCGTGACAAGATCGAATACGATATTACCGAGGGTTCTTTTGGGACAGGTTTCACTAAATCGTATACATGAAAATAACGTGTGTAATGCATTCTCCGAGCGAATTATAACAAATATATTCACGTGTTATTATTAAAAAGATATAAATCGTATGCAATCGTTTAGAAACAATTAACATTTCGTGGGTAGATATCGCGAAAATATTACGGCCCTTACGGGTGCGAGTTCGCCCACCTACCATGGCACAGTATATTTTTATTTTAATCTCAACGTTAAGCAATGATTTAAAGATTCACGAGCGATAAAGATGTAAATAATATATAATCATCAGTATATGTGGCCGGTGTGTCGAATGAAAGTAATGCGATAAAATAGCTTACCTAGTGAATAATAATACTCGTGTAAAAAAGTACCTATACGTAACTGTACGAAAAAAAACTACGAAAAGTATTACTCATCATTCGTTATTATCATCCGTTTTTGGGTAGGTATACTTAACTATGGCATATAACTTATATAAGTCTTAAGTATAACGACAATGGGTTAGAAATATGATTGTGTCTCTCGAACTCAGTATTTTATTAATGTTATAAATAATAAAAGAGTACACGCATATTAATAAATTAGAATAATTCGACTAGTAAATTATATACAATTAAATTCGTTAAAGACATATTTAGTCAACCCTTGGTTAAAATAAAAATAGTATAAAATAATACGCTGAAAAACATTCAGTTGAAATGTTACATAAAATAAGAAATCGAGAAATATGTCCTGTAATATAATTACATCGATTATAATCAACATACATTGATTATACCATACGTATAATATCATTTTTTTTATAGATTTTATTATTAAATTAATGATATATCGACCTATTCTTTAAGAATATATTTGATATATTTGATGATTTTATAAATATCTAATTCTGTAAGTAAAATTGCATTATTATATGTATCAGCTGACAGCTGTAAAAATGTGCAATTAAAATTTAATGTACGTATTACATTTTTCTACGATATAAAGTAAAGTTATTTTGTAATACAAGAGTTACATTAAAATTTTATAATGATTACCATGGTTGCGTTTTATAAATATAATTTTTTACCACTAATTTATTTACTAAGATGACAATTTTTGTACATAATTATTTATCAAATTATCATATTTTTATTATATTTTCTTTTTTTTAATTAAATTTATGTTTACCATTTATATTTAATTTATATTTAACCATTGTTATCATGACTAAATTTTGGATTCCAACTAAAATATTTTACATAACACTCACTTGGTTCATATTTTTTATTTATAATAACATTTCTCACGCTTCGTTGAATTATAAATCAGGATGTACCCATGTACAAAATTTAAATCGTGCAACAAACTCTCAATTATCTCATACTTCGAACATCTTCGCTTTTCTCTTAACCTTATAATAACCTATGGATATAATCGTTACTGTTTAATTTGCATAGTAGACAGACGTCTACATAGCTATATCAGAATGTATGCACATTGCTAATTATAATAAATACGAAAATAAATATATCAAAAATATAATATACTAGTATATTGTATTTAAAATTTAGTATTTAAATAATCGAATGATTCGATTTTTCGAATAATCAATTCAATTCGATTATTATCAGATTAATTCTGAATTTTTTAAATTATAATAGTTAATACTCAAAATTTAAAAGCAATATTAAACAAAATAACAGTTTTTTTTGTATTGAAAATGAATTTCAATATTTCATATTATTAAAGAATATAAATTATTATTCGATTATTTATATGTATAAATATTAATCAGTTCAACACTTTTAATCGTAATGCATTCAAATGGATCAATTATTAATAATATTACTCATTTAGAAATCATTACTCGACGTAGGTACTCCAATACTAATCATTCGATTATCCCCATCACTAATTATAACAATCTGGCTTTATAGCGGTGAAATTTAATTGATAAATCGTTTAATTTAATTTTTATACATGTAGAATGTACAAAATACATTCATATAGTTTTACGGTTATGCATTTGTGGAAGTTATTAAATCGTTAAAAATTATTTTTATTGATGAGCTGGAGACGATATTGCTGTTATAACTTTTTATTTTTATACTTTTAATCGATTAGCCAATAAACGGTCAGTTTAAATTTCATTTCAATTTACTGTCTCTTTCTTCTTCTCTCTCCGCAAAAATATCTATAGAAGCAGTGCTCGAATTGGAAAAAAAATTGAAGACGGACGCTGGTTTTAGTTCAAAAAACACCGTTCCATAACTGATAAATTGTAAAGTAACCCGTTGTGGACTTCGTCTCCCGCGCTCCCTGCATATATAATAAGAGACTACAAATGTTGTAATATTATATAATATTTATTTGCTTATTACTCTAATGTAACATTATATATATGTATATATATATATATATATATATATATATATATATATATATAATATAACATTATTTTATAACGAAATAATAATATTAATTACAGATATAAATATTAATTAAATTCTATAATGATTTGTATACATTTTCTTCAGTAATTTTTATCCTTTTAGGACAATTTTCTTCCTCTCCTGTTCATTTGTCTTTCTTAAACCACAATTCAATCCATTTTGTTATGTTAATCTTGTAAATTGGTGGAAAATTAAACAAAAAGTTCTCAAGAGGTTGTCAAAAGTAGAAAGTAGAAACACCTATAGGACTATACAACCGAAATCATTTCAAAATGATATAGTTATTTGGCCATGATTATTATCTTTGTCCGTGATTGTCGTCAACGATAACCGTTTTCTGGGAAAAAATAACAATTACTTTGCAGTTTGTTATAGAAAATAGAAATAAACGAAAATTAAATTCAAATACACCGTTCAAAAGTAAACATCCCCAGGGGGACTCGTTTTTAGCGTTCCTCGCTTAATTAAATAAAGGGGGATGCTGAAATCTATGGGCAAATGAAAGCGGACTCCGTCCGTCTGCGTCCCCCCCTCCAATTCGAGCACTGTATAAAAGACTTAAAAGAAAACAACTACATTATCTACAACAAAAAAATATGAAGCAAAATATCCGTATGCTATTGCTAATGAGTGTTAATTTTTACATACCAATCTATTATTAAGATTGTTTATAGTGGTTTATGTTATAGATCATAAATATCGCATACAGAAAAATGTTCTGCTGTACAAATGCCTACGTATTTATGCTAATTGTATTTCGTTACGTATTTTATTTTTTACTATCACAATATGTAAAATCATGGCATAGCATGATTTTTGGTTAAACCACACTTGACATACGTATTTGTACAACAGTAGTCGTCGTCGAAATTTGATATCCGAAATCACTAGACTCCACAAAAAAAAAATAAATAAATAAATAAAAATACGCGTAATTTGTAAATAAATACCGGTTCGCTTAACGATATCTATTATTGAGTTAAAATACTAACTGTTGTGTTTTTTTACAGGTATCGTCAGTATGCGTATTACTTTTTATCGCCATTTCTTGTTTGGCGGATCAACAACCGGAGTTGGACTCATCCAGTCCGCTGGACGCTTCGTCCATAAATGACCTGGCCAAAAGGCCGGTGAAACTGGATCCAAAGTTGCGGAAAGCTTTGCTCAAAGTGCTCACCCGTCTGGACGAAGAGGACAAGGCGATCGAAACCGAGTCGCAACAGCAGCAGCATCGTGTACTGCAGGAACAACTACAGCAACAGCAATATGAGCAGCAACAGCAACTGCGGGAGCAACAGCAACTGCGAGAGCAACAACAACTACGGGAGCAACAGCAATTGCAGGAGCAACAACAACTGCGGGAGCAACAGCAACTGCGGGAACAGCAGAAACTGCGTGAACGGCAACAGTTGCAAGAGCAGCAGCAACAGTTGCTAGAGCAGCAGCAACAAGTGCGGCAGCTGCAACAACAGCAACTGCAGCAGCAACAGCAGCTGAAACAGCGACAGGATCAGGACGGGAAACAGCGGCAACAGCAGGAACAACAGCAGCAGCAGCAAAGGCAACGGTTGGAGCAAGCGCAACGGGAACAGCCGCAACAGTCGGAATATCCACAGCAGTCGGAACAGAAGCGGACCTACACGGCGCCGTCACCGATGCTGTTGCCCACTCCGAATCCGTTGGATGTACCGGCGTACTCTGCGGCCGTAAACTCCTTCAAGTCCGTCGCGTCCAGCACGTCGTCATCGCCCACCCGCAGCTCGCTCGAACCCGTGGAGATATCGCCCGTAGCCAACGAGACCACTTCGTCCACCACTACCGGTACCGAGGTGGACTTTTTCAAAGCTCCATTGTTGACCGCATTCACGTTGCAACAGGACTCGGACGGCGTGTCGCAGCGCGTGATTCCCATCCCCGCGGATCCCGAGCAACTGGAGCTCCAGAAAATACTGGCGCTGGAGAACAAAGCGGAAGCCGACGGCGGCGAGCGGAATGCTGTGGAGCCGGACAAGAAGCAACTGGAACTGCTGAATAAAGCTGAACTGGCGAAGCTCAAGTCGCAGTTGATACCGTTGGACGGGCTAAAACGGGAGGCGTTTGCGCTACAGGAGCAGCTGAAATTCGGACAGAAACTGCAAGAACACCAACGGCAAAGGGCATTCCTGCAGCAGCAGCAACAACAACAACAACAACAACAGATCCAACGGCAACAGGAACAGTTGCAGCAGCAGCAGCAGCAGAGGGCCTTTCAACAACAGTTCATACTGGGAGCGCAACCGCAACGACTGCAACAACAGCATCAGCAACAGCAATTTCAACTGCAACCGCAACAAATACAACAGGTAAGATTAAACCAATTGCAACAGCAACAGTTCCAACCGGTGCCGTCCATCCAACTGCAACCGCAACCGATCCAAGTGCAACGGTTACCGTTCCAACAAGTGCCGTCCGTTCAACTGCAACCACAACCGGTTCAATTTCAACCGGAACCGCAACCGATCCAACTGCAACCGGTACAATTCCAACAACAACAAAGGCTGCCACAGTTCGGTCCGTTTTTGCCGGGACAGCAATTCGTCCAACAACAGACGCGAGTGCTCAGGCAACCGCATCAACAGACGTTCGGTTACGGATCAGTGCCCCGATTGCCCGGCGACTTGGACGTGGTTTACAAAGTATTAGCGTTGAACCATGAAGGAAGAGGCTCCGAGCACACGCAAGTTAGGCCACAGAAACAGCTTTTATTGTAAACGTGATGAATATGTATTATTATTATTATTATTATTGTTATTATTTTCTAATGTTATAGTTGTAGTTTAAAGTGTAAAACCACTACGAAAACCTAACGAGAACCTAAGAATATTTTTTAATTTTTTTTCTATATTACTTTACATGAAATCACACGATAAACGTTTTCAACTGATATCAAATCATCGTTATTTAACTAAGATATATTTATATTAATTAGGACGTATATTAAACACCATCGAACGATAAAAATTTTAATGCCGTCTGTGTAACCGTTTTTGTTGTTGTTGTACACGGTGTAATTATTTTGTACGGGCATTATTTTCAATAATCAGATATTTGTTTTTTCGGCACAAATCGTACGCAATTTAGTATATTATTCCCAACCGTTTAATGTGCAGGTCATCATATTTTGAAATTGTACCTACTCGATTTGTTAAGATAAGTTATCAAACTTACGGTATTTACCTAGTGTAAGGTTTATATTTTTATTTTTCGTTAACATATCTGCACATGTGCGCATAATTATTATTATTAAATTAACCTTTACTGTAATATATGTTATTGAATTTTTTATTATTATCGTTATCATTATTACATGAACATATAAAGTGTTATAATACTTATGAATACCTATGAGCTATATTAATTTATACACAATTTAAAAAAGCTAACATTTAAGTTTACATTGTTTTAACGTATTTGGATTAGAATTATTTGATATGTAATCAAGTCAATAAGATCGTAATAATTATAATTATAGGTACCGTTTGTACGATGTAAGGAAGTACCCAAGTGGAAGGGGGAGCTAATTTTCAAATCGGAGAACCCAGCGGTCCCCTTTGCGACGCTTTACGCGTCATTTGTTGTATAATAACGGTGTATAAATAATATTTATAATAATTCTAATATTTATTAAATATTATTTTATAAGAATTACAAGAACTCGGCTCAGTGTGTGTTACAAGAACGTTGTATTAAATATGCATATCTTGTTTCATATTCACCGAAACAATTATTACAAAGCACAATGGGATCACCAAAATGTGCCACCTATAGGTGAGTGTCAACGGGCAGACATAAAACCGTAAATTCGCACGAAGCGGAATCACCAAGAAACGAGAGATGAAAAACAGGAGATTACACACCGCAAAGATTGACGAAGAAGGTGAACAAATAACGAAACCGTTAAACATTTTATTCTACGGCTATACTTATATATTGATGCGGTGAAAAATAAGTGTAGAAATAGTGACGATGAGTGTAGAGAAATCATAAATGCAAAACGATTTTTCAGTAGCATAATAGACGAATTGAAATTACTACTATATTAGAAAGCGTCCGCTGAATGTTTGCACGCCGATATAAATTATTAACGATGCTGAGTTCTAGTGGTCTTGTATAATTCTCTGTTTGCTCAGAACATTGCTGAGGTCAAGTATTTTGAACTGTGATGCGAAGATTATATAAAACGCGTTTATGACACCGTTTAGCTAAGCAACGGATAGATTTCTGAATTTTGTACGGATTACGGTTTTAAGAACACGATTATACGTTCGTAAATAGACGAAAAATGTAAAAAAAAATCAAATTAAACTCTTTTGTCGCTGTTCAACGTTCAAAAATCATCATAATATTTATAAATAATTAAGATACATAATTATAATTGTTCTAATGTCGACAATATTACAACTAGACTTTGGATTATAATAAATTTGAATAATTTTTCCAGAATCCTCAACACATATTTTGGTCATTTTGTACTTGTTTGTAGAAATCTAAAAATATACCTAGTTATTATTTTGTATTATTCAATTGAGAACAAAAAAATACCGTTAATTCAAGGTGTATTTTAAAATTTTTAGACCAATGCATTTATTTTCATTTCAATATGTATTCAAATAATAAATAGTAAATTATACATATCCGAATTCGTCCTAAAGATCTTCAGGGCTTGGGGTAAATTAATTTGAGGGCTTCTCGGTTATCACAATAATATATGAGTATGATAAAAAACAAACATCAAGTTTGCAAAACATTGATAAATAAGGTTTTTCGAATTTCAACCAATCAAGGTCATTTAAATGCATCGAAACGATGAATTACATTTTTATAGCTTTTAAACGATGTATTACCAGTTACCACATTTAATAAAATTTAATTTATACTGAGATAATTTATTACAGGCATAGAAAATAGGAACTTGATGTTTATAAAATACGATTCCTGCGGTGTTACATGTTTTCAATTATTTTGTATGGCGTGAAAACGTGGCACCCTAACCAAAACAATGTCAAATAAACTAAAAGCATTTGAATTATGGTTGTACAAAAGAATTTTGAGAATAGCACAGATTGAGAAAATCACCAATATTGGGGTACTGCGTAGAATGGGAAAGGAAAAATGATTAGTTAAAACAGTTAAATGCGGGAAAATACAGGACATATTGTGCGGGACAAGTACAGATGTAAACTTCTCCGACGTATCCTACAAGGAAAAATAGATGTCAAAATATGGCCTGATAGCAGAAGAACATCCTGCCTAGCCAATCTCAGAACATGGTTTGACAAATTATCTGTAGAATTATTTCGAAATGCTGCTAACAAAATTATACATCAATGATGATCGCCAACACGAGACCAGGGGCGGCTCCAGAGCCTTGGTTAGGGGGGGGGCAAGGGCAAGTTATACTCATAATTTTACAAAATCTTACCACAAAAAGAAAACAACAATTTAGTCCGTACAGAAATGTGTGCTTCGCAATTCATGTTTTAAACATTATAAAATAATAATATCATAGTATCATAACATAGTATACTTCATATTAATATAGTTCATTTATTGCCGTATTGGTTTTTCATAGTATAGATAGCAGGTACATCGTATACACCGTCATACCTCTTGGCTCTATCTAAATACTTGTGCGTGTCGTATAATAGTTCACATTATATATAATAAGCTTTTTTTTTGTTAACAATATAAATTTTTTTATAAATACGGTACGGGCTTGGGGGGCGCATCCCCCCTGCATCATACCTCTCTAAGAGGTGAATTCGGAATTTTTTTTTTTTCGACATACAATTCAAATGCAGTATTTTGACGATTAGCAGTTGGGGGGGAAACCCTTTTCGATGAGATATACTGGCACGTGGATGATAGATACCGTGTCGGACATGATGTGAATACAATTTGTACAATCTGTTCTTTTACCGAATCCCTGATCCGCAACATCCTAAACAGGTTGAGCGCTGAACGTTGACATTAGTCGAAGCTTTCAGCACTCGCGGCGATGAGACATCGTTTATTGTATAAATCGTAAAAATAAAATACACACTGTGTTTATAAATACTATAAAATACACGAATGAACAAACACTAACACTGTGTCGGGCAAACAGTTGTAGTGTAACTACGATTCTCGTCCGACGGTTACAAAATAGTTGTTATTATAATTATCAGTCCGACCCGGCACGCGAAACTAGCTGGCACCCGCTCTAGCGAATAACAAATAAAACGCTGTTATCGGACCACATTTTTAAGTTTGTTCCAGTAGATGGCAACGCCTAAAAGTATTTTGGATGAAAACAATTTGTAAATTTACAATTGTATTTCCTAAAAATATCAAGACATGTCACAAATACATTGTACGAATAATTGCATTTTGTAAACAGGATAATAAAATAAAAAAAAAAAAACAAATAGTTGACGGAAGAATTATAGACTCAATAATTTGTAAACAACAAGACGTAATATAATAAAGTGACACAATGATGACACAATCGAATCACTGATTTTAAATAAAATATATTAAAAAATCAACGAATGAATCCATAGTGGGTTTCTAATGTTATTTGGAAATTACTAAACGGTTAATAGATTTTTGGTGTACATTAATTTTAAGCTTTAGCTTATGACAGTAGTAGACCCATACCACCTATAAATTTGCATAGTACCCATATTGTAATTTTAAATCTATTGCTTTCAAATCAAATGCTATCGAAAGTATAATTAGTTTAAACGAAAATAAGATATTCCTCGTGATTTTCATGATCATGAACAACTGTATTCTTGTAAATATCATTAAGTAGTTATTGTAATTCCAATATTGTAATTATATGCAGATTTAAATTTATTGGAGATCACATTTAAATTATAATGTTTTAATTTTATTAAGTAATATTTTACAATATACATAAAATCAGTTTTAACCAGGGTTTGTAATATACGTGTATAAAAGTTTTATATGTTACACCATTGATTATAAATACTATATATATATAAACTTTCATTTTTCGCTTATAATTAGGCTTAGGGATTAATGCTCTAAAAAATACACAAATATGCTTCTAAAATCATTATAATATGCATTAATACGCATTAAAAAAAAAAAAAAAAAAAAAAAAATGACCACATAGTACACAAAATAAAACGTGTCCATCGGATGTAAATTTATCTTTAAACTCCGAAACAAAACTTTCTAGTCGGCTACTCGTAGACTGTTGTACTTTTGGTATTACACGTTATAAAATATAGGCGTACGACATTTTACTTATGATTCGACGTTGCATGGTTGCGAGACGCAAAAACGACGGATAATAATAGACTGAACTGAACACTAAACAAAATATCTATTATTCTATATCGACATCCGGTTGATATCCAGCGAGTTATAATGTCGAAACGGGTTCATAGTATTATTTATAATTACACAAAATTATAACGAAATATGAGAGGTAGTTTGCAGATATCATATTACTGGAAGTATTAAATCCTCTTAGTACATTTTTTTTTTCGAGCGGTTAAAATATGTATACATAGTTATATGTAACTATAGTTTTTAATTTTAAATTTGAAAAATTTGTCAAAATATGCAAAATAAGCATAAAAACTTTAAAATATGCACTCTCCTGCAAAATCTATCAAACATGCAAAAATATGCACATTCAAATTTTAGATCTGATATCATGGCACCGAGAAACGAATTTATTTCGCACTCAGCTATATTTAACAATAATTAAAAAAGTATGCAAATGCTAGAAGTCCCTAAGCTTACTTATAATCTATTAATATAAAATATTAAGTGTTATAAATATCACAAGTACAATAAATTTATTATAAATAGGTCCGTGATAAAATAATGATAATTATTAACAATAGATTAATAGCACCACAATTGTTTATTTATAATTTAAATTTCCTTGTATTATAGTGTTTAAATTATAAATGCATTTTTATTCATAAGGGATTTTATTTTTATACAGAATAAAACGTATAAAAATACTTGTTTTTTACATACATTTAATATGTGTTTTACACTATACGATATTATACGTTTCAACCCTGGTTTTAAGTGATAAAATTGTGTACAAATTAAATTCAAATAATTAAAGTATTTATAAAAATACAAGTATTGCATAATTTATTTGTATTTAACAAAAATATATATTTACTCTCAACCAAAAATATTTAAAATTTAGCAAGAAAATTAAATACTAATAGGAATTTGTCAAGAAATAATAATTAAATTACATATTTTTAATGGGGGTTCTCTAACGTAATAGAAACATAAACTGAATATTATTCTATAAATGGCTAACTCTATTCATATTGTATTAATATACTAAACATTTATAGAAATTATAAATTATGTTATTTACTTCTGACATTTGTTATTTTATTCATTTTAAAAGTTAAACAATTGAAAGGCTTGATTTATTTTCTCAAGATTCAAATTTTTGGTTGAATTCCTTAACCAACATAAAACTTTGGAAAATATATAATATTTAATATGTATAATTTTTTTATTCATCAAATGGATAGCATAAGACTTATTTTCTAAGAATTAAAACTAATCACAGAAATTGTCAATGGTAAAAATATTTACTTAACAATAAAATAATTTAAGTCATGTAACTTAAATTAAATTAACTTACTCATTTACAAAATTATACATGAAAACTTTTACTTAATTTAGTTACATTAAATAAATAATTTAAGAATAAAAAAAACAATGTTGAAAAACTATTTTTAATTAAATAAAAAACAGGTTGATTTCTATGGAAAAAAAATTAATTAAAATTAAACATAAATGATTCAGTTGACTCAAAATTTAGTTTTGTAGATTGAATCAAATCATTTGATTCATTTGCTGTTGATGTATTCATAGACATACAGTTCTCATTATTTATTTTCTTAAATGATTCATTTTCATGATTATGAAACATGACATCTGAAAATGTGTAAGATTGTTATCAAAACCATAAGCTTTTTAGATTTTTATTTTTAAATAAAGATTATTAATAATAAAAAAAATATTAAAATTTTATTAGAATAAGTATCAATTACAAATACTATAGTACATAACAATATATACTATGTACAATATAATATTTATAGTATTTATTAATGGAATAAGATTTGGCATCCAGGCTGAAAAGATAAAGATTAATATTGTCATTGAATAAGTATAAAAATAATTATTCAACAGCATATTGTTTATGACTTATGACTTTTTTCATCATTGAATTATGAAAATAAAGTTATTTAATTATAGTTGAAATATGAAAAATGGATTTACCTAATTATTATTCTTTTTTTAAATACTCCCAAAAATGTATTTAAGCTAAAAATGTTTGATAATTAATAATTTAGAAAATTATATTAAAAATCATTTTTAAATAAAATAAATGTTATCAAATAATAATAAAAAAAAAAAAACCATCATTATTTATAAAATAATATTTAACTCAACTGACCTATAGATTTTTGGGTAATATTATTTTTCAATTTTTGGAAATCAGTGTCATTTGGTGTATTTGAATCACCTAAAAATAAATTATGATTTATATTTTAGTTTTTTTTTTTATAAATTTTGCAATATAAATAACTTACTATCTAAACTGTTCATAAAATTCAATTTCATTTCTGCAAATTGACTGAAGTCATATACATTTCCAAATAATTCAGACAAATCTGATCCCTTAAAAGATATTAAATTTGTTATTTCATTATCAAGCTTAAATCTAGGGAAATATTTATTTTACATACACAAAAACTATAATTTCCACTGTTTTCAGATACCGGTACATTACAATTATTCCAATATAAACCTATATAATACACACAAATATTAATATAATAGTAATTTAATGAACAATAGTGCTAATTGAATAAATTATTACAGATATATTTAAACTATTTTATTTTTCTAAAAATCACTGAATGCTTCACTTATTTTATGTGTTTAAAGTTATTTCTAATACATTGAATGTAAAAAAAGAAACTTATAGATAATGTTTATCTTCAATAAGTTAAACTAATAAGTATTTATTTCAAAAATTTAAATCAATAATACTAAAAAAAAGACATAGATCAAACATATAGAATATATTTAAACAATTTCTTAATTCAAATAAAAATATGAAAGACATTTTAAACCACTAATTACCAACCTATTATAACTAAATATTTTTTAGGAAAATTAAAATTAAAACTAAATTAAAATTAAAATTTAATTTAATAATAAAAAATAAAACAATCATGTAAACCTGATGTTTTGTTTTCTTCATTAGATGTACTTTCTAGTTGTAATAATATATCATCAAACATTATAATTTTATCAGAATTAAGATTTATTGAATCCGATTGCTTCGCAGATTTCATAGAGTACATTAAATGTAATTGTTTGTTATCATTAAGATTATCTTGAATAGTTTTGACTGGAGATTTTAATGATTCAACTTTTTCTTGATTTTCAATCAAATTATTTTCCTTATGAATATTCAATAAAAATATTATAAATCACTTGAACACAAATATTTAAATACATAATGATACCTAATTATTGGAAAATATATGATAAAAATATAAGTTATTACATAAATCATTTTTTAAAATAGCATAAACTTTTAATTTCTATTAATTTTTTTGGAAAAAGTATATTATAAATTAACAACTTTTTAATTTTTTAAAATAATCATTACAAATTATTTGTATTTTATAAATATTTATTAAAACACCAAATATTATTAAAAACCTTTAATCTATTTTTAATTTGGACCAATAGATTATAAGATACAAAAGAGACATCAAAATTACAATTGATGTTATAAATGCTGTATAACTGTAGCAGTTGTGTCTGTCAACGTATTAAAAGCAAAAATTAAATCAAATATTTTTTTACTTATAATTAAGCATTACTATTCTTTAGTGCTTTTTGAACTAAATTATTTTACAAATTAAAATTTAAATACCTTATTTGTTGAATTTGGTTGAACTTTTGAAATATTTGAATTGGTACTTCCATAATTTATTCCATGAAATGGATTATAGGGTTTTTTAAATTCAAAATCTAATTGTTCTTTAATAGGTTTACGTTTATTAGTTACAACATCAAGAATATCAAGTTTTTTATTATTATCATCAACACATTTTTCTCCTAGGTCTACTACAACATTTTTCGAACATTGATCAATATTTCCATTCATTTCCGAATGACTTATTAAGTCTGAAAAGTGTATATAAATTTAATTTTGATAGTCAAATTGTTCTTATGAGTTTAGTATTTATGTTTTATTATTTAAAATACCATTAATTGTGAGTGAAGATTTTTCAGAACATTCAATTTGTTTTGGTTCATTGCATAATTTTGAATGTTTCCCATCAAATTGATGTTGGTAAGGAAAATCTTGACTATTATTATTGGAATTTAATAAATTATGTTTTGAATCAAAAGGAAAAAGAGAATGTGTCCAAAATGAAACTTTATTAATTTTCTGCAAGTACAAGACAATAATTTTAGCACAAATAATTTAGTTCAAATTGTTATATAAGTAGAAATATATATATGTATATATATATATATATATATTAAAGTTTTACATTTTTTTGTGATTCAAGTAATGCATTTTTCATATTAAATTTTTCCTGATATTCTGCATCGAGCTTTCTAAAAAAATATATTTATATATATATATATATTAAATATCCTAGGTAGATTAAATAAAACAAATAAAATATTTATCATAGGTAAAAAAATTATCTTTTACCTAAAATCTTAAGTACCTAATAATTTACCTTAATTTAATCCTACACTGTTTTTCTCTTTCATTAATAGAATACATTTCTATAAAAATTTTTGCAAATCTTACAATAACATCATTGAGCTTCTTACCTGAAATTTGTAATGTAAACATTTTTATTGGAACAGCATAGTTAATTTTAGAATATAATACTTAACTTAAGTATTTTCATTAAAACAGGTAGATTAAATCAATTAAAAAAAAAAAAAGAAGCTTATAAATATTTGTATTTAATTAACTACAATTTTTTTATTTATAAATCTTAAAATCTTACTATTTTCTTTTTCAGCTATCGAAATTTGTTTTACTAAATTTTCTTGATCTATTAACAAATTTTCATATTCTGATTTTGTGTTTTTTAATTCCAAATCAGCAATTTTTAAAGTTTTTATTTCAGGTATGTTATTTAGCCTTTCCTAAGTAATTAGTTATATTAAAATACTTCCAATTAAATAAATGTTTTTATATATAATTTGTCAATTTATCAATGAATCAGGTTTATAGATATTAAATTATGTACTTATAGAAAATTATAATAACAATAATTATAATTTACATTTTCAACACAATAATGTCTCTATTTAATAAATTGATCTTAACCTTAATATTTGTATATGCTAAATATTTTCAGTATCATAATTGATAATAAATAAAATTATTTTCTAACCTCTTCTTTTTGCCATAATTCCATTCTTATAAATAACTGTAATTCATTTTCACTTTTAGATTTAAAAACTGAAAACTCTTTTTCTTTCTGTTGTACTTCCAGATAAGCTAAGGTTTCATAAAGACAGAATATAACGTTTTCCATACTAAAAAATAAAATAAAGTATATATTACAATTTTTTTTATATATTTTACATTTTAATACAAATATTTTAAAATTGAGACAAAATAAAATAAAGCTTTAAAGAAATAAAATAAATTAATAAATATATTCTGCAAAAAATATAATAAATCTATTTTGGTTAAGTTGAAAAACAATACCAGCAAAATAATTTTTATAATAGTATAATCATTAAAAACATTATATACTATATGAAAAATACTACAAATTTTTACCCAAGAAATTCTAGTTCATATTATTACCACAAAAAATAATTAATAAAATCTAATGATAAAAATGAACAACACAATAATTTCCTACACAAAGCACATAAAAATATTAGGCCTAATCTTCGACAAAAAAAAAACATGGTCAGCACAAAAAATGACCAACCCAAAAAAAAAACTACTACAATTTTTTACAATTTTCAAGGTTCAATATAAAAATACATATAATAACAACATAAAATTAAAACAATCGATGTACATAAGAATTAAAAAGAAAGAATGAGAACTCATAGCAGAAATAAATAACATAATGACTAAGGATGTATAAATAAATTTACCATGGGCTACAACAAAATACCAATTTGATTAGTCAATCGAGCATTACAACAAAAATTAAACTACAATTTATACATAAAAAAATGTATACAATGAAGTAATAGATAAATTTTAAGACCACATTCATATATATATATATATATATATATATAGTGGTATAGATACAATTTTTTTTTTGGGGGAGAGGGTGCGTGTGTGTTTAAGAGTCAATTCATAATATTCTTAGTATATCTTAATACGAGGTACTATATAATAATATTACATTGAAAACAGTATTATTATTATGTCCCGTATTTAATGAAAAGTATTTTGTTACCTACGCAATTTTTTATATAACTAATATTGGTAAAATGAAAATATAATTTTACTATAATATGTAAATATGAATAAATAATAATTAAAAAAAAATCTGGAAGGGGTAGAAACCTCTTATACTCCCCCCCTATAACTACGCCACTGTACACACACACACACACATATGTATATATATATATATATACACACCTCAAAAACAGACAAATACATATGTATTGTGATGGTTAATCAAGTAAACCAAGGTTTCGAAGATGTTATCGAATTATTGTAGCATATACACAGCAGAGAAACTTATTGTGTACAAAGCCCTATCGTATATAATAACCTCTAACCTGCAAAAACTAAAAAATAACATAATTTTCATAGACTACACGAGTATTATATTAAACTTTAATAATCATTACAATAACGATAATGTTATTGCCAATAATTTTATAAATTTAACAATAATATAAAATTTTCGTGGATACCTGGGTATTGAGGAATAACTAATAATGAAAGAGTGGACATACTTGCCAAAGAAAATGCAAACGACCCACATCAACAACACCTCTGAACACAGATAGACCTTAGAAACTTTAGAACAAAATTACCTAGAATCGATTTAAATATAAATGCAAAATTAATTGTTAAAAATGAACACTAAATATAATTTAATTAAATGAACAACAGAAAAAAAATATTCCTAAGTCTCTCAAAAGAAAAGGAGAAATTGTACTACATCATCTCAGAATAGATCATACATACTTTATAAAGGCTTATCTCATACAAAAAAAAGTCACCAAAAACATATCAAACATGTAGTTATCCAACTTTAACAAAACACAATATCACAGAATGAAGAGATACCCAAAGGACAGACATTCTTGCTTCTAGATCTTCACACCTCACTAAAGCTCCAACAGAGACACCACCAACATTTTTTTATTGTTTATAAAATATATTAAATTGTACACTTTAGTTTAATTTATTTTGGTAATGCAATATAAGCTATTAGCTTAAAGTTAATAGTTTTGGTATCAAGGATTTAACTCTAAAAAAAAATAATACAACAGTTATTTATATTTATAAAGAAATTCAATATAAACAGTCCAAAATTTAATATATATACAAACCTCAATATTTCGTCTCTAACTTCCTTCATTTTTGCTTTTATATCAATTAATTGTTTCTCCTGTCCTTCATTTTCTTCAGTTATAAGTGCAGTAGAATTATTAATCTCTTCAATGTTTTTTAATTTAACTAATAAATACAATGATAATCAAGTGACAATTTATATATTTTAAATTATTGTTTTAAATACAATAAATTAATAATATGAAATAGCTCATAACAATTTATAGTATTATACATATAAATAGGAAGTTATAATGCCATGAGCTAAATTTTGTTCACTAAATTAATGATTAAAATATTGATTGATAATTACAAAATATGCTGAATAGGAAAATTATTTTTTTAATAAATTACCTACAGCATAATTTAATTAAATAATAAAAACTAATTTGTTACAAATTTTAATGAGTACTTTCCAGTTATAACTTTCAGTATCATAATTTTGAAAATGATTTTCAATTAAGTTAGATAATTATTCATTTATAATGTTACTCTAGAATTTTATTTTAGTTTTTAAATAATTATAGTACATTATTAAATATTTAGGTATGTATTTATATAATAAATTTGAAAAAATGTATACATATAAAATTATGTATGTATCTTTTTTGTTAAAATAGTAATATTTTCATCATAATCATTAAAATAAATAGTATAAATCAACTTATCTGATAGGTTTATTATTATTAATTTAAGTATAATATTTAAAAAGTAAATATAATAAATACTTTTTAAATTTTAAACTTACGGCGACATTTTTCTTCTATTCTCCAAAGCTCAATAACATTTTCATATAAAGATAAATGTATTTTACTTAGTTCATCATTAATGTCTAATTTATCTTCATTGTTACATGCCATTTTTCTCTAAAAAATGTTACATAAAAATTAATTTCATCAAAAACACATATTAATATCTTCTACATTTAAATTATTTCAAACAAAACAACCAATATGTTCATATAGGTAAAAAATAATTAAATTTAAATTTAGTACATTTTGAAATATTATACATAATTATAATTTAGCAGTAAAAATTATACTCCGCTACTTTGTTTGGGTATTCTTACATATTTTTCATTATCAGCTAACTTATCAAATTTTTTTTTAATTATTTAATAATAAAAGTAAATTTATAATGTTCTAATAATATAAGGTTTTAATAAGCTTATACATTTTGTTACCTTATAAATTTGTAAAGGTTCTTCAGTATTTCAAAAGAAATAAAAAGATCAGTTATATTATGACTTTTAAATAAAATTCCCAAATGCAGTTTAAATTGAGTTCTGTGAAGTGCATAAAACAAATTACAAAAAAAAAAAAAATTGTTTATTTATATTTAATATATGTACCTAATATTATTTTATATATTGTTTGATTTAAAGTATAAGTGTTCTGAAAAAATATGTCTATCATTAACAGACGGTGAATAAAAAAAATAAATTACATTAATGGCAGTATATTGAGTACATAAATCATGGCAATCATGTTACAAAAATGTGTAAATCACCTAAAAGCTTTACTAGTTTTGTAAATTAAAAATAGTACTAGGTAGAAAGTAAAAAATTCTTTATTTATTAAGATTTAAGAAGCCTTTTCCGAGAAATAGTTTTGGATCTACATCTGTTTACTGCGCAATTAATATCGTATTCATTATTCAAAGTTCACACTAACAAAATAATATTCATCAACACTACATGTTCTATTGTGGAAAATGTAAGAAACTTTGGATGAACACTTAAACCTCATTACAAGTGAGCACAGTGTATTTGAACACGAAAATATATGTTATTTTAGGTGTACGATACAGGTGAATTCATTAGTACCAAATAGAAGCGTAGAAAATTCATAATTAATATTCAAACCATATATATATATATTAAAAAAATCTGTCGGCACATACACTTACTGGAAAAAAAATTACAAATAATGTGTTTCTAATTAAAAATAATAAAATAAAAATATTCTAACTTAATTCGTACTTGCAAACTACAACCATATACATGTACCTAACCAATATCGTGTTTTGTACTCCGACAAGTTTGTATTAATTTATATCTTTATTTAATAATAATAACTCACCGATTGAAATAGAAATAACGGGTGGACAGGAGTAGAAACTATACGGAAAACTTCGTACCTGTAACAATTTTTAAAGTGTTTCATCCATATTTAAACAATACCTACACAGGTAAGCGCCGAAACTAAAACGTTAAATTTACCACTACACGAACACGCATGGACGGGGAAAAAAACATTTCTACCACTACCAAATTAATAAATGTCGGTTACGATACCGCGGTAAGCAGGTATAATATTAAAGTGGTTACACACTAGTCGTTCAAAACGCGCGTATCCGTGTTTTCAAAAATGCGACCGCGACTACAATTCGTGTTAGAAACGTTACGTGTTTGAGATTACGTTGGATTATTATTATTTTATAAAATAATGTACCATATTTGTTTGCAGTCAGGCACGTAGCCAGAATCTTGTTATTATTTTATTTTTTTTGGGGAGGGTAGTCGAAGTAGATTTTAGTACAATTTTCATACATGATTGAATTTTAATTATTTTTTTATTACATGAACAATATTTTATATTACATTACAATTTATAACTATTCGATATTTTAGTCTATAGTATAAATGTTCTGCTTTTTTGTAGTCTATAACACTTAATGTAGCGAAATAAATAACTAAATAAATAAACCTTATTTACGGTTTGTATGCTATAAGTTATAGTTCTAACACAAATTTAAGTGAAAATTAACAGTAATTAAAATTATAATAACGTGTAAATTTCACCGTAATAAATAGGGGTAAAAATGTCAAATTTGAATAACCCTAGAACAATTATTAATTTTTAAATTTTAAGCAATGATCATTCAAGATTTTGGATCATCATCTACTTATATTTTTTTTATAAATTAAAATTACATTCGCAAAAATAGCCTCGAATTCGTAAAGAAAATATAGATATAAGCGAAATGCATAATTTTTTATGTTTAATTTTTATTTGAAAATCCACCGATACCTAAATAGGTTAGCTAATATTTATTTACTAGGTTAGTTAATACTAAGTATTCTTTCACGATGCTACATTTTATTTACCAAAGCTTATCTGAAATTAAGCACTTATAATACTAAATAGATTAATAAAAACTAAATGTTTGTAGCATAATAAACAGCGTTTATTACAATAACGTATTAAATTTATATATATATATATATATATATATATATAATATTTCAAACTATAAGATTATAATAATGGTTTCTGTGAAAATATGCAAATATTTACAATGGATGTATTATTATGTTAGCATCAGGATTGTGAATACAAATTTAAATATTGGCTACATTTTTTTTTAATACACCTGAGTCTACATATCTTATTTAGCTTATCTTAATAACCATGTTATTATATGTGATCTTTGGATATGTGTAAATATTATTTTTCACCTGTTGAGTCGTAGACGATCAGTTGTTGGGGAACTTTGATATTTTACCGGACACCCTTTCTTTTACATTTTTTTTTCGAAAACTTAACTATTTTGACGTTTTAAAAATTATGGTGAAAAAAATTTGGCGGAAAAAAAGTTAAAAATTTGAAAATTACGATGTTTCAACAATATTATGTAAATACGTTTAAATTGAGATAATATTCCTACACAATAAAATTCACCTCATAGTCCAATGGTTAATAACTACTAGTCCGAAGCAGGAGTTACCTTGTTCTAATCGTAACTAAAAATGTTTGCATTGTTTTTCCGGAAAAACGGAACTTTAATTTTTAAAATGTTAGGAGTTTGCTTTCTACGCCTGATATGATGTGGAAACAATTGTCCTATATTTAACAATTTGAAAGTTGGCAATCCTATTTATATGTGAACCTAAAACCTCGCTGCGTGATTAAATCACATATCCAGACCACAAATATATTACAGTTACTATCCAGTGCACATAGATAACAAAAATTGTTTTATATATCTATTGAATATGCTACGACAATTTTACTGTCGACTCTCGATTCAATATTCCACAACCGAATAGAAAAATTAGGAATGATATTAGAAACGTTATTTACTTTTATCGTTGTTAAATCTACCAAACCGTAGTTATAGTGGATTAGTTATTATATAGAAGTCTGAGTAAAACCATAAATTGAATATGTTAAAACTGATGAAAATTACTATCTTTGAGAATACTATGTGTTTATTACTACACTATGGCTGACTTCAAACTACTATAACTTCGGAACCAAGTTTGACCGGCCAATTTTAATTTCCCCATCGTTTTAAACATATAAAAATACACATGGAGAGATAAAAAATTACAAAAAAAAAAAAAAAAGGTGTCAGGTAAAGTAACAATATACCGTTATTGGAATGAAAAACAGAACTTATGATATTGATTGTTGAAATAATGTAAAAACAATTTTGCAGTCTTGTAATTTATAACATTAATTTATTACTTCAAAACAACATATAAAGGTAGACAATAATTCAAGTTTATACTCACCAAGTTGCAAGAAAAGGCGGTGTATGCTGTCCAAGACAGATTTGTTTTTGGAGACCGACTGACTGTGATATCGGTAAAGGAGTGTATTTAAGGTACTAGAACAGGTTTTAGCAAATCAATATTTAAGAAAATAAAAGTTTTAAAATGCAAATTTTTTTATACATTTTTTCTTATTTATTTAATGTATACTTTTATACCTACATAAAATGCGTAAAAATAGGGTTAAAACTATTTGTAAATAAATTAAAGAAATTAAATAATTAAAATCATAAGAAATAGCTCTCATCAATTCTTTCAAATTAAAATTAGGATCATCAATAATTCGTTAATTGTAATTAAATTAATTTTTACTTCGATAACCGTATTATAAACTAAATCGTATTGATAGTATTATTCTTTTGACTTGTTGTTCTGTTTTTTGTTGTTATTGTTTATTTAACGTGATAAAATACGTACAAAATTATATTGTTTTTTACATTTTTTTTTTGTTATGACAATTATTATGTATACATGTGTAAAATGAATAATTTTATAATAACAATTTTATAATGTATAATTTATTTATTTATAAATAAATGTGATATGGTGCGGGGTACAGTTATAATTATATCTTAATGTTGTTTTTGATTTACTTGTTGATGATATTAATATGGAGTTTTATGACGTAATATAAATATCATGACACTCAATAAATCCAACATATTGTTGGTACCAAACACTATAATCCTCTAAGACTATTCCACAAAGTCTATTCCCTTAAAACTCAAGTATAAAAATTGAAATATATTAGTATGAAATTGTATTTTTATAAACATTTACCATTATATTAATTGTTTTAATTACGTATTCAATTTAGTATATTTAATATTTAATAACTAAATTATTAATATATGTTGACTCAATAGTGTTATTTTTACTTATTTGCATTCAGGTGGTTCGTTTTATTAATACTCCTGTAGGCATTTTCATTTAAACTTGTATTGTTATTTTAGATTCTGAACAGAGTGATGGAATCTATTGGTTTTACAATGATATGTGTATTTTTTTTATTTTTTTTTGTTTATTTCTTTTTTGTGTCTGTCGTTACGTTTGGGGCAGTAAAAATGCTTCAATTTTCTTAAACAGCAACTTTTCTGAAAGGAAAGTGAATGTATATGATACTTTGGCAAGTCAAAAATCAAATTTTTTCAATACTTTTTAAAATCTATAAAAAAAATTTGGCTGTCCAAGAACTCTTGAAAATTTAATACAAGGTTTATTATAAATTATACTTATCAAAACTAAAAAAAATTGGAAATTGTTACATACAAATTTTTTTTATAAGCCTATAAAGTTCAAATTTGTATAAAATGTGTCAAAATTACGATAATTTGCAAGTTATTTTATAGATAAAAATTCATAAAATTTATTCTGCTTATACTTAAAATCAATCAATGGCATAATGAGTGGCAGACACCCTTCTAAAAATTTGGAATTATCGCCATCTGATATTATGCACTTCAAATATGCT